CACCGAAAAGTTGACCGCCTCCAAGTACATCGGTCACCTGCTGGTATCGAGAGTACCTTCGCGTGACGTCATGGAAATTCCGCGTGCCTCGACCGTAGCAAGTAAAAAACTGTATGAAGCGCCTTAACCCTAATAAAACATGCAAAGATTAAATATCTAAAATGTAAAAATACTAATCCTCGAACAGCTGAGGGTGATTGTTGAAGGTAATGGTCGATGGCTTCATAAAGTTATTTGAGCTACGATCCCTTGAGAGATTTAGAGGAACGTTGACGTAACGGTGTTTCAGTTTGTGACACCGAACGTCAACAAACATCTTCGAACTTATTTTACATTTAAAATTTCTTTTGTTTTAAGAAATAGGTATTACACAGTATCTTGCATTTTTGTATATGACATTAAATATTATACTGTATCATTATAAAAGAAAATTAGAAAGGGAATAACCGAATAAAGAGGAGTAAAGATGTCCCAAAACCAAATCGACCTTCGCATATACCATTCGATATAAGATTCGATCTCTTGAAGAAACTACTTTCTACCAAATTTTGAGCCCCTACTTCTCCTACTATTAAAATAGTTACAAGGTGGAATGCTATACATAGTTTATGCTTGATAGTTTATGTTCTGTTTGATAAAAAGTTATGAAAACTATCATAGTTATTCTAGATGCTGATGTGCATTTCTGGGAATTTTTTCAGAATTTTATACCCAAAAATTGATTTTTAAAAAATTCGAGAAAATTATAAATGATGTTTTTTGCATTTAAATTATCGGAGTACCACTTTTATATTTCCCTGGAATTACTGTCTTATTCTGACTATTAATACTCTATTTTTCATATTTTTCGGATTGGGGGAACGCAGTTAAAAGAAATAAAAACTGATATTTTTCTACATTATCGGCCGAATTATGCATACTACAATATTCATATTTTTACAAATATTGTAATTTATTATATTTATTAACCTATAATTTTTTCAGATTTTTTAGGAGGGTGTATTATACTTAAAAATATTATAAACCGATATTTCAATGTTTTCCGCAGAAGAGCAGTATCGTCATACTACAGTAGTTCTTAAATAGCTATTTTATACAGTTTAAATACCATGCAGTTTTTCTCACTTTTATTAACAATACAGCAGAATAATGTTCAATGTGAATATAAATAGTTGAATGTATTTTTGTTAAAGCAAATCCCAACTGAAACGGCACCTAAAATCAAACTAAGAAATTTCAAATTTATTTTGATAAATATCTTGAAAACTGAAAATAAGCGCTGATTATATGTATAACGAAAAGTTACTAAGCATATTTTCTACATAATATGTTTAAATATCATTGAAGTCGGCGAGGTATACTCTTTCATTGTATATAGTGAATTAAAGAAAAGCCTTCATTATTTCTGTGGTACATAGTACCTACACGTCATACTATTTAATCCTTTAAGTGCTGAATATTCGCAACCGAAGTACTCTATGTAGACGGGATATTTTTTTGTTTAGCTTGCCGACTGAAGGTCGACGACCTATATTAATTCATACAAGACGTAATTAACCTGTTAACTGTGGAATTTAGTTTGAAAAACCTCTCATTTTGCGCGCAATAAAATCAAAAAGTGAAGTGTGTACTCGTCAAACGCAGGACAAATGCACCTAGGGTATATTTTAATGAAAAACTAGAGCAAACCAAAAAATAATTACATGTTTACCTGAAAAAAAAGAGAATTCATCGTTGAAAGAATTAGTATCACTTCAAGCTTTAAGATGACGCGTATACCTGTCAAACCTAGTTAACTGGTTAACTTGTAATTGTACTTCCTCAGTTTCGCCAAATAGAGTAATGCTAAGAAACACGTATATTCATGTGATACACTTATAATTGTCACCAAACCTTGTGTGAGATCGAAGAAATCGAAAAACACATACCATATATGTAAATAATCCACAGCCATGACTTTCGCCAGACGCATATATGCGTTGATAGCACTCAAAGGATTAATTCTAAGTAAAAATACCTCAACAAGTAAATATAGGTTGAATCACAACCATTTTCGGGCTATAAACATTGTTGTGTGCTAATGCCGTGATATACTTACTTACCGGCTCCAACTTGCAGAGATACAATATGCTTGTCAAATAATACAACAGAGATCTGAAAATTTCAAAAATTCTCGAGTCTGTAGGAAAATGTCGAGCGTGTGTGGAATTTTCAGGAGAACACGTGGAACACCTGTGAATATCGAAAGGTCAATAGTTAATCTACTGGAAAAGTGCAAAAGTTTTTACTGGTTTCTATATAAATAAAGATATTATAAATAATTTAATTTAAAATAATTAAATAATTAAATAATTAAATTTTATTCTATTGCAAGTAACTTATAATTCAATGTTTATAAGAATAATAAATTATTTTTAATCGAGTATTGTTAAGATTATTATTATTATTATGAATCAATTTGCAATAACCAAATTCTACACAATATCATCATAAATAGTAAAATATTGGTAAAAGTGAGGTTTTCTGTTTAGATAAAAATTATTATATTTAAACCTCTATTTAATATTTACTTTCCTACGAAACTCACATATCATAATTACACATAAAGTGTACCCACTAATCACTTTTAATTTTCATTTGAAGTACAATCGTTCGCTTAAACCAATTAATTTCTGCTTTGAATAATAACTATGTAAATTATTTACTGTGTACTGCTATGGATATATAAAATGTGAATACTATTGTCTTCGCAAAATAATATGATGTTGATAATGATAATGACATTGCATTTATCTAATATTGTGATGGTAACATACAAAAATGTTTATATCTAAGAAACGCTTGAGATTTCGACTAAGATTCTTTTACTCGGTGTGGTGCATCCTATGTATCATACGCAAATGAAAATTTCGTCGACTACGTACCAGAACAGGGTAAAATGTAATCTGATTACACATCACTGGCAACGATACAAACGTAATAAGTAATTCCATTATACATTATCTTTTATAATCAATAATTGACATCAATCTATATTTGAAATCGAGGTGATTACCCCGTTAATAATCCAAAAAATGATTTGTAATTTTAAACGTTAGTCTTAATATATAATGAAATTACATTTTGCGTCGTTCTACTTACTCCACTCACTCCATAGACGAGGAGCATTGTGATAATTATGACAAATTCCGTGAATTTTTGAAATTGCAAACATAGAATCTTACTTTATTTGCTTCACGTTTTTTGTACAACTCAGCCAATAATGAGAATGTATCAAAACAGAGTATTAATGTTGCCACAACTCGATCCAGCATCGCGAGTGGACGATTCTGTTTGCTCTGTGTTGTTTTAGTCTGGCAACATTGGCTGACTTATCAAAGGCATATAATAGCATATAAATATTCAAAATATTTTGGTAATTACTTACTTTAAGAGACAGCGCGTTGATGATCTCGACCTTTACATATGTTGTTAAGCACACGATTCTGACAACGAGTAACTTTTTCTAATAATTTAATTGGTCGTCTCTTATAATTTTTGTGATATTCGTAAAACAAGTTTTGATATTTTAATAATTATTCATCAAAAGGTATACACCATGAGTTTCAGAAACCTTAAAATATGTTATCAAGTGATACATCATTCTGAATAATACCCATTCTCTATATTCATAGGAATCTGTCCCTTAGAAATAATATTAATATAATATTAATATTATATAATATTTACAGAACTATTATTAACATCATAAATAGGTATAACTCTCTACATTATATAGTCCAAATTTAAAGCTAATCGAAAAATATATATAATAGTTATGAATAATTTCTTACAAACCTAAATTTCGCTGATACCATAAAAGTATTTGAACACACAGAAATGTGTTCTAAGAATCAATGATAACAATGTTTTCCAGGCAATGAATGTGAACATTCACTGTTGCTAGTTGGCCTACGTCAATCATAATCTGGCATTTATCGCGAAATATTATGTTGACCATGTATATCAAATACTTTTGTGCTATCAGCGGAGTTTATCCTTATAAGAAATAATTCATAACTATTGTATATATTTTTGGATTAGCTTCAAATTTGAACTATATAATCTAGAGTTATATCTATTTACGATGTCACTAATATTTCTGTATTTAATATACTTATTATGATTAATAAACTATTTTGTGGTAAGTGTTCAAATACTTTCGTGAGTCACTGTATGTAAAAGTATATTCAATATTACATACCGTACCTTATAGGTCATGTTTAGTACATTAACTTATTTAATCTTCCAGTCACTATAAGACAGCCAACAACCCGTTACTAATAAATTTAATATTATCAATTATGATATTCTCATTTATTACAAAATCTAAACACAAGTCAACATCAATTCCTTTTTAATCTGTAGCCACACAAAATGCATCACATGAAACACGTAGCGTTAAAAATATTTTTGCAAATATTCTCGAATATTTCAAAAACTGTAAGAGCCCGTCAATTAAACATATAATTCCGAAAAGTACTCAGAATCGCGCCTTTAATCCAGATATGGCGACTTTTTAAAATTCAGATTTCAGAAGCCAATATTATTTTTCATAATCAGACCATGATTATTAGACACATTAGACTCTTTTCACCTGAGAAAGGTATTACATGTCACGTATGTTACTGACTGCGAATGCATTATCATAGGTAAAGGCCCCCATACACACTGAAACTTGCGGTGATGTCATCGTTACTAGTGACGGTTTTGAGTTTCCTAAGGTTTCATGATACGCGTTACACTCAAACAAAAAGTGAAAAAGGTTCGAATCCATCGCTTGTAGCGATGCCTGTATCACCGCATGTTTCAGCGTGTATGGCGACCATAAGGATTAAACTCATTAGCGCTGTGTCCCTTAAAGTAAACGTTTCTCTTTAAAGAAAATAAATAAATATCTTCTATAATTACCAAGAAGATAATGTAATCCACTAAGACAAGGTCTTGATTGAAATCCCCAGGTATTATCGACCGCCTTGTGTTATCGACGCTCGTCCACCCTGTCATCACCACTCTCATCGACGCGTCGATCACTCGAAGAGCTGCGACTACGCGAGAAGCACGCCCGAGTCGAGCATCGACGTCCAACACTTCGGTCTGCCCATACTTAGCGTCAGCGAGCCAAGTCCGCCGGATGAGAACGACCGTGTAGACGAATACTTGTAGGACATGCTTGCCGAGGACTTCTTGAAGGAGCTCCTCGTCTGACCCCGCATGATCACTCTGCCACGCTTCGCGTGATTCGAAACACGTCGAGTATATGCCGTTTCGAAAGTAAACTTAAAGCAACCCTTACGATCTTGCGGCGACAAACCGGACATGAAATTCTCGGAAACACGATCAACGGTTCCAAGTAAAGTCTACGGTTTTGCGACTGTTGCAAGCTGCAGCGGAGAATTCCCCGGTCGAACGATGTTTGACGTTCCACTTTCAAATCGATTATGTTCCAATCGAGGTATTTTAAACCCGAAATTCGAAGTCAATTTTAAGGACAGTCCTCTTTCATTTGACGGTGGCATGCGAACGGATAAGATTCTCGATCGTACACTGATAAAACCGTTTCTCTGCGTACCGATGACTTATGCGCCGAGGGAACGTCGGAAGGCTCTAACAGTCTACTATTGAAAGTAGATTAATAAATTCTCCGTTATGGATGAACAGATTGCGCGCGAGTATTTTGCTGCGGTGCAGTTAATGATATTCATATCGTATATACATGGTCGAAGCGATATCCCTTACTATTGATCGGTATGAAACACTGCTGAACGATACAATTTTTACTTGTTACTAATATAGTTACATGTCAGATTCGAATCGCGTACGCGAAGGAGACTCTTCGACGGATTGAAAGTATTGTAAGGATCAGAGAAAGGGATAATAATTTAGAGATGTTCTTTCATTATAACGAATGATTGTACGATGGACGAGTAACAACAAAATTGAATAGTAATCCATAATTCGAAAGGCACAGAATTTTGTTTGAGTTTTCGCTTCAAATTCATAAATCAGAAGGAATACGGCGATGAAAATATTCGGCAGTCTTCGATTCAATTGTTCAATACTTAAAAAGATTAAGTTACGTTACGAATTAATAAATACTTTCATTACGGTGGGACTTTGAACGTTATATGTAGAATACACGGTGTTACAAATATTTTTAAAATTATTACGCAAGTATAGTAAAAGTATTTTAAACGTTGAATTTTTGTAGATAAAGTCTATTACAGTTGTCCAATGATATTTTAAATAACGATTATAATTATTCTTTGATTAACAGAAATGAAAAAAGAAATCTTCTTTATATGATCAAATATGCATCAATGTTTTTTTAATCGCTTGAACATAGCCTCATATTTCTACCAATTATCAATTTTTAATAATTCCGTTTGATTTTTCGTGTTGTTTGTTTTAAATTATCAAAGAAATTAAACATTTTAGAATGAATGATTAAATTGTATTAATATATACGTTAATATGAAGATTTTCGCAATGAAAATACAATCAAATTATTAAAAACCAGAAAAATGAATACCAGAATAAATTAAAAATATTTATTTTTAATGGTATTTACAATGTTACAATGATTCTTCGTAGTCTGACAGTGTATGAAACACGCAGACAGAAAATCTTACAATTATAAAACTAAAAATAGATTATTTACGTTTAAAAACATTCAGCGGCACATCTTACACTCCTGCAATTGTATCCTTGTATTCAAAATAACAATGCAGTTGAACACCTCGTATAAATCTATCAAAAGTTAACAAAATTCTTCATGAGGATTTACTAATTGTAATAAAACGATAAGATACTTTAAGAATCTTGTAAAAAAATTTATTAATGTAGTCTACATTTCAAAATTAAAGATTCTTGAATATAAGTTTAAAAATATTTTATATTATTTTATAAACTATAAACATCCTACAATACTTTTACAAATTTAATAAAACTTTCGAAATGCGTTGTATAATTCACATCTTGAAAATTTCTCTTTATTATTTTACTATAATGAAGTTAATTTATTAGCCGTTTTGAAAGATTCGAAAATAAGAAAATAAGAAAAACTCTCTGTTATCTAACAAATATTATTCAACTATATGAATATTTTGCTTTCAAATAAATATAAATTTGAAAACTAATTAACTACTGTCAGAACATAATTATTTTGGAATTTGTAATGTAACTATATTTTTTTGGCATTTGACAATTCACTCGAAGGCGTTCAAATATTTTCACGAGCCAGTATGCAATACATAATACTTACAAAAAGTTCAAGAATGATTCTTATTGCTTCAGTTGAATATAGTTCTTTCTTTTTAATAGAGTCCTAAATGAGACACAATGGTGACCACAAAGAAGTTTAAAATTGATATATTTACATGTACAATAAGCAAACAATGCAATTGTTTAAACTGTTTAAACTTTTATTGAAAAATAAACAAACAATATATAATGGATTACTACTATCATTCTAAAACTTATTTCAGTTACAAAATAATATTAAAACATATTTATAATTTTATTACGGTAATGATATTTTTCAATATTATTTTATAATTCTTTAAAATCCCATACTGTGCGGTTATTTTCATAACTTATTTTCTATACCTGCAATCTAGTTTTGCTTTTGTTCTAATAACGCAATTCATAGAAATTCCACGGGACGAATCAATCGTCAATGTTTATTCCACTTGTTTTCATGTTGCACACAAAATATCCAAATATTATTCTAATTTTTTAAATAATTCATATATTTGTAATGAATAAGTTACTACGAAAGGAAAAAATGAAGAAGCTTCTTTTTTGGCCACCATCTCGAATTCTTAAAAGAATACAGGAAGACGAAAAAAAGAGGCCGTATGTCTTAATCAAATGGCACGCATACGTCGAACTGAGTGTGCACGTTACTGATCGAAAATATAATGAACGACGTGGTACGATCGAATTCATCAAGTAATGTCAATTGCACAGATAACTAATATACAAAGCCCTAGTTTAACAAGACACTCCAATCGTCTCTTTCTCCGTACAACTCTAAAGGTTGATTCATACAACTAATCGATGTTTATTCCAAGTAATACCGTTCTATACGGCTTAATGGATGTTTCGTATGAATACATAAGGATCGCATATATGTTGCCGTTCTGTGTTTCCCCCTTTTTCCTATTCAAACTTCTGTACTCCATTTTTCACTGACATCAAACGCGGAATTATTCGAATGTGCAACTCGCTAGGATACCACAACTTACAAATATCTTTCATGCAAAAGCATTCAATGACACACAACCAATTCTAACAATAAGTGTCATATTGATTATACAGTATACATATATAGTATGGTTTCTGTAATTTCGCGGTTAGGCGACCCGCTTTACCCATTGCACTCTTTTGTAGAGTGCACTGAATATCAATTTCATTCGCAGATACTACTACAGCGTCTGATAAAAACATTAGGGCTACCATTGATGTCATCTTTGAGAAGATCAGCAATGAATCAGCAATCTGATTTTTATCTGGTCGTTTGCTCATATTTATTTTTTATAATTCAGGCTTAATTTCGCTGCTTAATTCTTGGTCTTAACCCGTTGCACTCCAGAGCGTCACTTAGTCGCAACTTGATTTGACACAGCGAAATTGTAAAGTTTGATATTTAACACATTGTGTACCGGTTAATTCTTAAAAAACTGAGATACGTAGCCGATGATTCTTAATGAGATTAACTTATACCGCTACATATAAAATATTCAAATATCTTATTGTTATTTCATCAATTTTAAAACAATGTTAAAATAATTAGTTCTAATAAAATTTTATATTTTTTTTAAATGACGTAGTAGTTAGCAAAGTTACGAAGGTAGGTATTTATATGAAATCGAGATTTCTCGTTTCCGGTACGCAATGTGTAACATTAAACTTTTTATAATGCGTCAATATGTGAAATAGTGAAATGAAATAGTTTCATTTTCGAAATTATGTACGATTTTTCGTCAAGTTGGTTTCAGGAAATGTCTACCTCATTAAAAAATATTGAGTATTTACACTAAAATGCTTCTGGCGTGCAAATGGTTAACAGTACGACGAAGCAATTATTATTAAATTACCTTTTGGAGTTCCAATACCATGATTACCGCGAAAAATGTGACGTAAAAGCTATGGTGGTCGCAATTGTTTATCAGGGATTATATATCAAGTCACATTCAACATTTTTGAGTACTTCATCTATTCTCAACATAATTTCTAAATAAAACTATTTCCATTACTTTTTGTCGATTAACTGTCCTTTGAAGTGTATTTTTAAAACGCTTGAAACATTACAAAGTTATTGAGAAAGAATATATTCTCGTGGTTTAATTAAGCACAGTCTCGAGAAAGAAAAATAGGGATAAATGTTACCCAATGAGAGCGAAAATGAAATAGCTTCCATTATTCCCAGGCTTCGCGAAGTTACAGTGGCAATACTATTTTCACGTGTACATGAAACACCTGAATGTCATTTTGTACGAAATCGTGCATTTCAATTACCTTGTGCGACATATTTCATGTTCCCTTAAAGTTGTTGAAACTACTTTTCTTTAAGTGATTCAAGCAACATAGAATCGTTCATAGGACAAACTGACTAACTCTACTTTGATCGTTTTCAAATTTTTGTGTGGTAAAATGCTTGATTGTTTACGAAATTTTATCGAATTTGTCTACTTCTTGTCTCGTAGTGTTAATCAACTTGACAAACGAATGGCTCATATATTACGTGACTTATCGTGCAGGTGCTACTATCGAGTATCGTATTGACAGTATCATGTACACAGAAATAAAAATGGGGCGAATGTGGAACGCGAAACAATTTGTCAGAGAAATTTTGACAGTATATGAACAAGATGAATTTTGTAACATCATACTATACGTACGAAGTCGATACGAACGGAATGAAAATTTAATATACGTGGCGGACAGAAAAATAATCGCCCGTGGACACGACTGACAGTGAACTGTAGGCAGTTAAAATAGAAAACAAATATTCCGAAGGAAACTATTTGTTACCTTATTGAAAAAATATATAGTAAAATAATTTTGATATCATTTGAATATGAAATAGTTTTACAAAAATAACTGAGAACTTAATTGAAAGTAACATACGAATAGTATGCTAAAATTCAAGTAACAATGGAAATAATTGTCTTTATTTTGAATTAAATTCGAGCAAAATGATTTAAGTAAGTATTTATGGTCAGTAACGTCAATATTAAAAAACCCATACCATGAATATCTGTATTTCAATGACAACTTCGCGATCAACTGCGCGAAGAACCACAATGGATTTTCCTACAAGAAATTCGGAATTATACGTTAATTCTACGTGTCCTCTGCAAAATATGACATCCCATATTTGCAGTTGTGTAGATTAAGAAAGCTGTTATTATCAGTGCTCAAACACAAGAATCGACCAAAGTCAATATTACGCATCCTGTTACACGACATGGTAATGACTTCGAATAAATTCTTGTGTGAATCGTTCGTCCTTTTGTTTAATCAATCTTAAGTAACGACTTGACGAAAGTACGTTTCGTAAAACTAAAGTTGAAACATACACGCAAATTCGGTAATCTTTTTTCTTTATTACCGATAGCTGCAATTAAACAATTTTTTTAATTTCTTAATTTTAAAAAATAAATTTGAAAAAATTTGATCATAAACGTTCGAACGATTGCAGAAATTCGTTAAGACATTTACCAAATTGAACGAATATCATTGCGGTATGTAAAAAGTCACGATTATCTATGCACTAATTTAAATAACTGCAAGTACATATTTTAAACGTTCTTTCGTGCTTACTGGAAAAATCAGCGGAATTATGATTCCTTGTAA